CACACAGTACAAGAGGAGAGCCCAAAAGAACTGTGTTTCTTGAAGAAAAGGCCAACAAAGACAAAGCCAAGGAGGAATCTTATTGTTATCTTTCCAGTGGAAAGCACAAAGATGGAGACAGACTCTTCTCAGAGGAGCACAGTTGTTGAACAAGAGGCCACAGGTATGAATTGCAACACTGAAAATTCTATTTAAACATTTGGAAAATTTTCCTCACTGTGAGGGTAGTCAGACACTGGAACAGAACCTGGAGATACTGAGAAGAAACCTCCAACCTTGGAGGTCTTCAAAACTGTACTGGACAAAGCTCTGAGCAATCTTAGCTGGTTCTGCTTTGGGCAGGGCATTGACCTGGAGATCTCCAGAGCCCCCTTCTAACCTGTGTGAGTCTATGAATCTTCGATTCTAAATATCCAGAATTTTAATTCCAACATGTATTGCCAAAACAATTTCACCAAAATCACCCACTTCAGACACTTCAGTCTGCAAGGAGACATCCCCAGAGCCACCATCTTTTCCTTCTCCTTAATCCCTCTTTCCTTTGCCATGTCAAATTCAGAAAGTCTGACAATGGCTAAGAGAGTGGTATGCTGAGAGGGCAGTGTGTCATGCTGATCTGCATTATTTGTTTATGTTGAACTCATCAGCTGTCCCATAGCTTTTTCCGGGATTGGGCTCTCTCTGGGGAGGGGCCATCACTCCGCTCTGTGTTTCAGCAGTTCCAACTGCATTGCTGTTCTGGTCTGAGCTAACGGAAGCAACGGGTATTTAATAAATAGGAAAAGCAAGACATGCAATCATTTTTGTTATAATAAAGTAACAGAGTTAGGGCTTGGGAACTATTCAGTTAGGAAACCAGGACTGAATTACTCTTCTATAAATAACTTTTTCAAGTGATAGTCACATTGCCAAACGCAGAAAGTCTGGTTATTTTCAGAGTGCCAGGAACCATCCAGTATGGGGTTGATGGTAGATACTCTTTGGTTCTTGTGGTGCTGCAGACCATGCTTCCCAAAAATATCCATAGGACTTTATATGATTTCTAGTGTTCTTTCCCTCTCCCTCAACTGCTTCTGCAAATCATCTGAATCTGGTTAGTCAGTCATTTCTTTGTGTAAGCAACTCTGTGTCCATGGTGTTCATTAATTTCCTTGCTCTTAGTCTGCTTGAGATTAGGTTGTCTGGGTTTCCTTCCAGCCTGTGGTTAGTGTAGCTCATTCAGGATTCAATAGGCAGTTATGCATAATTTAACTGCAAATGGGATGCATGTCTTGGACTTCTCTTCTTCAGTGCTTCAAACTACAGTTCAGCATTGTTACATGTTGACAGTTTGGTGAGCACATATTTGCTGTCAGGTGATCTGTCTTCATTACTAAAGGGCAACCATGCAAAAACTATGTTGATGGGTCTAAAAGTTCTTGCTGTCCACACCTCCTTGGGCATTGCATTGGACATGATGCAATTAAGTTAACGATAGAGCTACTCAAAATTCTAATTTTTTTGACCTCTGGGAAATGCTAACATTCTGAAAACGTTTTTTGTGCCATATTGCAAAATGGTGTTTCAAGGGGAAAAACGGGTCAAAATTTAAAATGTTCTTTTTCAATAAAGTCCAATGGGTTAATTGTAATGCTGTTATTTTATTTTTACGTTCTAGTTTATGATAAAATACAATCTTTGGGAATTAAAAATGAGTAATTCCATACTGATTTTGTCAAGACGATTTTTTTCTCTCCTCACAATGAAATGTCATTGAAGTTGACACCTCCTGCAGCGAAAGTGAGGTTTCAGCAAAATGTTATTTATCTGATGGAAATATGTTGATCTGGAATCTTACAGTTGATCCTACTTGATGATGTCATTCCAGAAATCCCTGCTCAGTTTTTTTCTTGAAAGTGAAACAGAGCCATTGCCTGACAATTACTTCTTAGCTCACTGGAAAGGTGAAAACAACCCTTTCTCCATCCTACGTTGCAATATAGATTTCTTGGATTTAATACCTTCTAATGGACTGAACACTTAAGACAGACGACTCAACCTGCAGTATTTTGAGCAGTCTCAAATTCTGAAGTGAAAGGAGGGTGGGTGATTTAGCAGCTCACAGGTTTATGCAGTCAGTCTGGTACCACTGGAAAAAGTAAAGCTTGAATTTCCACAGACAGGAATCCATCCCCCCATGCTTTTCCTCACAGAAATGTTTAAGTTGTGCACGTTGGACATATTGTAGAGTGCACCCAGTGGAACCATGTGCTCCAGGGAAGTTGTCACCTATCTTTAGTAGTAGTCCCAAGCTGAAGTTATTGGGAGTGCTAAGTACTTCTGGACCAATGGCTGGAAAATGCATTTGCCTTTTCATTTGGGTTTCCAGTTTCCTATAATTCAGTGTATTTTATCCTCAGTGCACCAACCCCCCCGTACATTGGCCATGTCTATCCATGAACCAGCTGCAAACTTGGAATTTGAAGGAGCACCTAGTGGTCATTTGTGAAGGTGTCTGTGTAGTCGTCTGTAGAAAGCTCTAACTTGTTGCAATATCCAGTAAGGTGGGCATGGCAAAGTATGGGAGAGGCACAGAGGGGAGAAGTAGCCATCTGAGAAAATAGGGAATTTTTCCTGTCTTCTTCCCACCTCATTCCCTGTTTGACTAAAGCAAAGTGTGGTGAGTTTTTGATTGAGATGGTATAATGGATTATTGCTGGGTTGTTGCTATTGAAATTATTGCTGCTGGATATTTGAAGAGATGAAAGTGGAGTGATTTTTTGTTTGTTTTGTTGTTTTTTGTTTTGTTTTGTTGTTGTTTTTTAATTGGATGCATATAGTATATGCATGGCTGTGCTTAGCAGTAACCTGGATACGTGGTACTGACCGGTATTGTGTCCTGCAGAGAATTGTCTTGTACATAGCAGTGTTCTGAGTTGTTTGAAGGAGGGATGAATATGTCCCAGGAAAGATGCATGATAGTTTGTTGTTTTACTGTATCTTGCAGATTCAACCTCTAATGATGAAGCTTCCCACCTAAATTCTTTCTTTTTGGGAGCAGAAAGAAAGGAAGAAAATGAAGAGTCTGAGCTGTTGATACATTGGGATAATCTCTTTCCATTGTATTGAACATTTCTACCTTTCCTTAAGTTTTGTTTCACCAGTTCTGCTTATCATTTTCTCATTGTTGCTGATTCTCTCCCCTCTCCACTGCCTCTCCCATGGATTTTAATGTTGAATTTTTTTCATTAATGAGTAACTATTTTACACAGAGCAATGTGGGGGTTTTCCTCATAAAATATTTTAAGGAAAAAAAAACCCAAACTGTAAATGCTGCATGATTAAAGAATCATAAAACATTAACTAAAAGTCAGGATTGTTGCATAGACATTTGTAATGTATGTGTATGTCTTAAATTTTTGTGTGTCTGTGGGATGTTTGCAATTGCGTCTTTTTTCCATTTGTGAAAGAAATTCTTCTTGCTGCTAAGTGGTGAAATAAAACATTGGTAAAGGCAGATTTAATGCTAACTATGCCTTCAGTCTCATGAAAATAAGCTATTTTAGAATGTTCCTGTCGGCCTATTTTGTAGCTATTTACTTTACTGGAAGTGGTGTGAATAAGCATGCTGTGGTATGGTGCCTGGGACTATAAAAATGAGTCTTACAGTAACAGATGTTGATTAATGATGTTATTTGTAATCGTTGTTCCTGCTAGAGGGCAGTGTGTGTAAGAGAGGCCCTGCCCTGTGCTGAGTAAAGATCTGTTCTGTGCAGCTCTTGTGTCCAAGTCTTCATTTATAACACGTGCTTCTCCTCTGTTGTCAGGCGGCACATTCTGAGTAGCATGGTCAAGAGGTTCATGTAGTTTAAAAAAAAAAAAAACATTGTATCCTGTCTCTAAGCTCGCAATCACAATGCTATGCAACCAATGAACACTTTTCTGGCCTTACTGGGTTTTTTAAAAATGATTTCATTTTTCTGGTCTTGACCCAAAACCCATTGAAATTCGTTGAGGTCTGTTCATTTGAATGGGTTTTGGATCAGGTCTGTAAGTAGATTTCTTTCCCATCCTGTTCCATGTCAGACCAGTGTAATTGGCTTCTCTTCCCTACCGTCCCTAGGACAAGTGAAACTCAGGGATCCAAGTCCAACTTCAAGAATATTTTGAAGTTCAATAAGCTGACATCATGGAGCTAATGATGGGGCTGGCATTTCTGCTTACACTGGTCGTTTGCAACTACTTGGCATGCATGAATAAAAGAAGAATACTGTTTTCTTTGTCACTGATGTCTCAACAAATAAACACCTCCAATATGTTTAAATTTTCCATTTGTTCCTGTCACTTGTGAAGTTTCTGTTAATACCTTGGGGTACATAGAAGCACATGTTTGTGATACTAAAACAGACCATTGGGCCACAAAGAATGTTATTGTGCTTTTGTGGTCAATACCTAAAGAAGAAAGAGGTACCATGATGCTTCTATGCAATAGCACAAGTCTGCATGTGATGAGGGTTGATTTCTTTTTGAGCTCTTGCAAGTTACAGTTCATACACCCTGCAGCACCCTCACGTCCTTGCATCTGAAACACAAGAACTGCTTCCCAGAGTGTGCTTCCCTCAATGTGATGTTAATCATAACCAGTGTTAATGTTAAAATTTACACAAACATTACATTGATCTTGACCTACATTTTTTCAGTAAGTGAACGGTGTATTTTTAGTCGCTAATGCATCTACACAGTGAGGCTATCATGTACATGTCATTCTGTTGAGATGAACAGGGAAAAACAGTAAAGGATGGAAGGTGTTATTAAGGAGTTTTCTATATGTACTCAATAAATAGAAATCTGTTGTGATACACAATCCTATTTTTGTTGGGAGTGTATTGTGAATTGCCCCTTGTCTTAAATGGTGTGGATCAGTAAGCTGTAGGATTTTGTTATACTTGATTGCAAGCCTGATGTTTTGATACAATAGACTTCTTTATTCTTTACTCTTTCTCTCTTTCTATAATTTGTAGCCTACATTGAAGATCTCACGAGATGTGTTGAACAAAGCAGAAGACTCATTATCGTGTTAACCCCAGACTATGTTCTCAGGAGAGGATGGAGTATTTTTGAGATGGAAAACAGACTCCATAACATGCTAGTCAGTGGAGAAATCAAAGTTATTTTGATTGAGTGTACTGAATTAAAAGGGAAAGTGAATTATCACGAAGTGGAATCTTTAAAGCACACCATCAAACTTCTCTCAGTGGTCAAGTGGAAAGGACCAAAAAGCAGCAAACTGAATTCTAAGTTTTGGAAGCGCCTAGTCTTTGAAATGCCAGGGAAGAAAAAGGAGGTGGTGTCTCGGCATCAGGTCCTGGATTCTGCAGAGCAGGGCCTTTTTGGAGACCTCCAGACTGTACCCTCTCTTGCTGTCACAGGCACTTCTGCCACGTTGGTAGAATCACGGGCTGATTTAACTGATTACCATCAAACAGACTCTGTGCAAATGAGACATTATTGCAGAGGATATGAATATGATGTGTCAGCAGCAACATTGCCAATAGCTTCCATAAGCAACCATCACACATACTGTAACATACCTTTGACACTACTAAACGGACAGCTACCTCTTAACAATACCATGAAGGATCCCCAAGAGTTTCACAGGAACAACCCATTGCTACCTTTATCAGCAAAGGAGCTTAGCTTCACCAGTGATATTTGGTAGTGAAGATCAGGACTCTCTTGAGATGCTTCATGACCGCCATGAAGACACGTTTTTAAAGAACTTTGCCCTAACCCCATGGGGTGAGAAAACATATTCGAAGCAGCGGCACACTTGTTTGCTTTTCTACTTGAACTTTTTTGTTTACATTTACAAATTATTGACAAAGGGGGCATTCTTTTGTAACTCAGTAATGTCCTTCCTGTCTTTTAATGTACAGTTTTATTGCTTCTTTAAAAAGGAGGGGGGATAGAAAAAACACATCCCATCATTTTACAGTAGGTTTACAATCTGGGTTGGATAAAAGGTCACTGTATATGATCTCCAACATCCATACATATTTAAGTAATAGTATTTGAAATACATGGAAATTGCTGGGTTTTTCATATAGACTTCAGTACAGTTTGAAATTCTAATCATGCTACGAAAATTATTATCTCCTGCACCGACTACAAGAGGTGAATCATTCTCAAAAGGAGGGAGGAGGAAACCTTCCCGGTAGCATTGTCTTGCAAATACATTTTAGAAGATGACCAGCTGAAAAAATGCAGATGAAGCTTTATCAATGAAGTGCATAGTAACAGTTGCTGCAGAATAAATCACCTGCTCACATCAGCATCTCTTCATTTTATTATTGAGGCATGTTGTATTCCTAGTCAATGGTTAGCAATGTGGTTTTATTAAACAACCTACTAGAATATTGGAAGGTGTTTAGGAGGATTTTAAACAATTTTCCTGTCAATTATAGATTATTTCACAATTTTTTGCAGATTTTTAATGACTTTTTTTAAACAGTTCAAGTATAAATTTATCTGTCAGTCAATTCATTAATTTGAAATTTCGTGAGATCTCTTGAGCTCTTTGAAGATTTGTAGTAAAGACAATGTAATTTTACATAGGATTTTTTTTCCAAAATAGTTACAATTTGAAATTAACCTTTTTGTGAGAACATCAGCAATAGAAAATAATTACTACAGCAATATTCAGAGGTGAAGTGCTAAATTATTCAGGTTTACTAGTAGTCTGACTTCAATTGCAGTGATAATCACCTGAGACAGTTCTCTCTCTGTTTATCTGTCAATTTATGTACCTTTTAAATATGGCTGAAGCAGGAATATTTCTGCTCTCTGTGCAACTACAGAAAAGTGGTATTTTTAAGCAGCTGGTAAGGTCTTGCATTTCTCACTTATGTGAGTGATCCCATCAGTAAAATCAGATCTTGTCATTTATCTTTCATGGAAGGCATTCTTGCTGCTTGTGGATGAGAAGTGTTATACAGGTACTCCGCATCAGGCATTACTACTCAGCGAGTTGAGTTTTCTTTGCACCAGTATGTTTCATGGAGATTTCCATACTCAGTTGATTAAGGGTTGCAGAGTCAGACCATGGAGACAACAGTATTCAAGGAAAAAGCTCTAAATAATGAAGGCAGAAGCCAGTTTTGCAGTTTTTGGCACGGCTTTAATGAAAACACAGTAGACATGAGAGTTTCGTCTCAGTAAGATCTGCTGGAGCAAGTTCCCGAAAACATTTTTATGGCAGGCAACCTTGCCTGTGTTTCAGTATGTTTTTAGCATTGTTCTCTTTGATTGCATGAATAAAAGTTAGCACTCTGGCCTCAGCTGCCTGTGGTTTCATCAGCAAACAAGTTCAGTAAATCCTTGACATTTTGCAGTGGTTCCTAAATTGTACCCTACAGTCAAATGGAAACGAACGCTGACCTAAGACTTAAAAGTATCCAGAATTGGCCCAAAGGCCATGAGAATGATCTCAAATGTGCAATAATTCATAGAGGTTGGTATTTTTCCATTGCTTCTTTCCCCAGTTCTTTATTCTGTGCCCTTTTACACCAGTTATTATCTGTAAGATTTTCATTAGGTTCTGAATAATACATGTTTCTCTTGGTTTTTCTAGCATTATTATGCATTTGACACTACAACTGAAAATGGGAATCTAGAAAAGATTAATTTATTACACAGTATAGGACTATAAATTGCTCTTTTGTGAAGTTAAGTTCCGAACATATAGGTGTTTAATATACGTATTTTTCTACTAAGAAAGTGGTTTTACCTCCATTATAAATATATGTATTTCAGCCTCCTCCCAGAAATTCACAAAATTTGCACTGTTTTATAAGTGTTACAGACTGTGTTTACACTATGTTCTTTAAAGCAAAGTGTAATTTAAAAAAGGAAAAAAAACTAAAAGAAAACCCTGCATGAAAAGAGCTGCATATGTTTAAATGAAAAGCTGTACTTTTCATTATTTTCCTTTCCACTTACTCTAGAATCTGGTTAATTCACATAGAATGTTCAGTGAGATTTTAAACCTACTAGTTCTGTATTAAGCATGCAAACTCCAAAAAAGAAAAAAACCCATATGCAGGTTCGTCTGCTTCTTTTATTTACAATGACAAAATAAGGATAGCAAATTCGTTTACCTGATGATAATATGTCTGTTAGAGCAGTAGCTATTCAAAAGCAAAATGTAGTCATATTTGCATTGAGGTAACATGAAAAGAACAGTTTTTCTGTCATTTTGCGAAAGCACATTGTGTGTCTGTGTATCGATATCTTTTAGTTATAGATGACAAATCACAATCTGCTTTAAGATTTCAAAGTGTGTATTGAGTACTACGACAATATATACATGAATCGGAACCGCCTGTACCCCTCTGCTTTTAGTACGGGGATGGGGACCTGAGCTCAGGAGGCCTCTTGTTGACTCAGTTTCATGCCATACCATTATGAGATGCTAGAGGCCAAGTGTTTCCATAGGTAGCGCTTAAGGGTCTGGAAAAATACTGTCAAACAGTGAAATGCATCCAGCGGTGGGACTTGGGAGCTTGTCCCACTGTGAAAATCACCTCCGTAGCAACCCTCCAGCGGGGTCCCTCGTGGCGGCAGTGACAGCTGCATCAGGGCCTTGGTGGCAAAAATGTTCTAGCTCATTCATGTGAACTTCATTAGCTGAAATAGAAGGGCATAAGGGCATTCCGCTGTCTCACCAAAGCTGTGTACTTATTCAGCTGGATCTATCGGGGAAGAGCCCAGGGCACTATCCTGACAGTGTTTGGTGCTGCATCTCACTTGTGCGACTGTGCAGCCCTCGCCATCCCCAGCTTGTCAGGCTGTGTCTTCCCCAGCGACAAAATCACCAGCAGCAAACATCCTTATTGCAACCACGTGGGGCTTCTGATTTGGGGTGCGTTCATTTTAAAGATGGTTTATTATAATGTTTGGAAACTACTGTTTGTATACTTACCTTTGTGTGTGGTGTGCTTCAGAAGCAATTATGGTTTGAAGGTTGTATATAAAATGAGCTAGAATTTGGAAACCTATTCAGCCTCTACAGATTTTATGTCCCTAAAGAAAGTTCAGAGAGAAAACAGGGTAATTTTAAATTAAGTAACAAAGTAGAGTGAATATTGACAGTTCTTGGGGGCTGTGTGCTGGACCAGTGTTTTAATAATTAATATTCCTTTCTCTAGACAGTGGATGAGAAACCTGTATAAAGGTATTGTCATACTCAGCCTACAGGTCTGCTCCAAAACCCATTCAAGTCAACAGAAAGAGTTCCATCAAATTCAGCAGACTTTGGATAAGGCTATAAAACCTTAGGTTTACAGTGCACAGAGGAATAAAAAAGACGAAAGGGAGAGAAAGAAGTCAAGAGACTAAGAAGCATTTGCTTATTTAATCTGCCTAAAATCAAGCTTATTTTTGTCCCTGTTTGGTGTGGATGTGCTCCAGGACTATCCAGCCTTGGGAAAGGAATTTTGTTCATTCTTTGTTATAAACAAGATAAGGACTTGGGAATAAATAACAGATACTTTTAGGAAAAAAAACCCACATTATTTTTAAGGGCTTCTACTCTGCTCTCAGTAGTTCCTTTGATTCAACAGGCTTTCTCTGTTCATCCAAATGCATAAGCACATACTTAAATTCCCCTTAATTCAGTGAGAAATACTTTACTGAGCAGGGGCCTGGAAGAGTAGTTCAGTGCCAGAAATCACGGCATTTAGCAGCCTTTAGAATTGTGCCCTTATGGAAAGCCTCAGAGCAGCTTTTCTGATTTCAGTCTCTGAATAGATGCAAGTATTATGGCAGAACAGCTGTCAGGTCTCACAGTCCTGGTTACAAGAGAGAAAGTCTTCAATGCTTGTTAGTCTGGCAGTGACATCTCCCTGGGAACTCAACGGTAGATGGGAGAACAATGGGTTTTTTCATTGTGTCCCAGTTGGGCAACTGGGAGCTTACCCCATGGGCAGCGGCCATGGGACGGCTCGGTTAGAAACACTGTCTGCAAGAAACCTCTACCTCCATGCAGCATTTTGTGCATCTTCTCTTGTGCACCCTTCTTCTTTTGTGCACCCGTTTTGTTTCATGCTAGGGCTGCAAAGTTACTGGGAGAAATAAGAAATAAGAGGAGAGTGTGAAGAAGGGAGAGGAAGACGAGAGCAGTCAGAGTCCAAGGGTTTTCCAGGCAGAAACACTGATTCAGTATAGCACAATGACAGCTCTTGCATGAATGCATCATGTTTGTCCACTATTCAATGGATGTTGGGCAAAGTTCCCCAGAAAAATATCGTTTCTTGCCAGCTCACTTGCTTCAGAACCCTTGTCTTCGTAATTTTAAAATTAAATTTCAGTTTCCTGTTGGATGGGAAACTTTCTTGATTTCTTCCACGGGGAAGAAGAAAAAAAAAAAAAGCTGCTTCTTTACATTTCTGGAAATTCCCCACAAAGTAAAAACTCACGCTTTCTGCTGGTCCTGTAGTTTTGAAACTCGCAGGTAATGCCAGAGGTGTTACCAGATCACCTCTGGTGAGGTGGATGAGGTGACTGGTTTCAGCAGTGCACTGGATCCCATTGCTGGAGAGTACAACTTCTGGCTCTGGCATTTCAGCAAATCAAACTGCTCACTTTTGCCATTGCACATTTCCAGTAAGCGTAGTCCAGAGTCAGGAGGAAAGTGGGTACCAAACATTACTGTTTAGGACT